AGTGCACTACAATACACATAAATCACAGGAGAATAAATAATACTAAATGAACAAGCATAATTTCTTCATCAATTAAGTAACAAGCAATTTTGTTATCATTTATCTTGTGTAAAGTAAACAATTGTTGTCATCGGTACAAATATTTTTATATAACTTTGTCATTATTCAGTAAATGTATCACTTCCAATGAGGCAAATAATAACTGGTCAAAGTAACTGGGTGGATAATTCAAAAGATAATTCCTACTCTGTTTATGACAATAAAGATCTTGTTTTTTAGTAAATAATACTTGGAAATACATTAAAATGCTTAAACCATTATGGAAACTCTTACATTTCAAGAGACCTCGGTGCATTACAGAAATCTCCTCTTTGTAACAAAGTCTTCTTGGCGTATACATAACTTTAAATCAAATGATAACTAGCATTAGGGCAAAATACTATCTGAAAATCAATATTTAACATCCGTCCATTATTCAACAGTTATAATAACAATGATAAGAACTACGATTTATTTTGTTTCATGATCATGATTTCATCAACAGTTTTATCTAATAATATGTCAAATAACGAAAATTGATATTATATAAAAAATTTTGATGTGTGAATTGATGGACAAATAAAATTCACTTTATCAGTTCCGAAAAGCGTATACATAGAAATGGGATTATAAACTGAAGTTTCAAAAAATCCTGATAAACTTAAACGACGATATGTTTAGAAAACGTATGAATCAACAGATCACCTTATCTTCAAATCTTAAATGAACGATCCCTCATGATGTACAGCTTAAGGAATAACTAATGCTTCGAAATGTGGATGCGCACTGCTGAGGAGTTCCATACCAGGTTTTCAATGGTGGTCTAACATTAATCGATTCATGATCTCAATAAAAAAAACTCAACAACCTTCACAACCTCTTGCAGATAAATAAATAACCATTAGAAGACTTTCTTAAACTCTTACACTTTTCATCGTTTTCCTAATGACAGATTTGATGTAATTTCCTACAATATTTTCCGTTATCGGAGAATAGATTTTATATGAAATTAAAGATAATAAACCTCAACTACATAATTGGACTAATATTTTGTAATTAGACAGTGGATTTTCAAATAAAAATAATATTAGGTAATATATTTAGGTATACTACTGGTGTCGTGTGTGCTAATTATATTGACATAAGTAGTATATGATGTCAGTCGTGAACAGAAGGTCTGGCAGCAAAGAGACAAGAGCATCGAACAGTTAAGAATGGAAACAGGATGTAATTTGTATGAAAATCCAAGAACAATGAAGTCTGAGTCATTTTGAGACAATTGGTGGACATTTTGCAAATTAAGAATTTATTTTATGATTGTTAGATTTTGTTAACAAGTCCTGTAATTTTATGTTTAATAAATTTGATTGTCCCCACTGGTGTTCTTGTTCACTACACTGGTACACTGACGTATTTACTATAATGAATACCTTCAAGTACTCAATAGAACATTTAAACATATTGTTTGGGAATGAGAAAGGCACCTTCGGCTAGTTTTAACGTAGATCATCATTTCTAATTAGAACGTTTGAAATATTTATTATCAAATACTGATATTACTACCTGATACATTAACTTACAGAATCGATTATACAACACTTTCCTCAGCAGGGTAGTGGATGCGCACTGCTTATGGTAGTCTATCTTTAATTGACTCATGAATTTAATTATTAAATTACTATAATATCTAAAAAAAACCCTATCTGATTAAAATTGAATAAGTTTAATTTAATTAACAAAATATGTTGAAAACAATAATTAAACACACTCATTATTTTTATGTACTATTGATGATACACTTATATAGATAATTATGCTATATACCCTACTTTTCATTTCAATTTTAGTAATATAAACTGGATTTTTGTATTTTGTATCAGTTGTTATTCAATAAAATATACTCTAAGCTTCCTAAATGACACTGCTAATGGACAGCAGATTCTGACTTAAACATAGTTAACTTAATCCTTAGTGTATATTTTAAATTTATGTTAAGCAAAATTCCAACTCAAGCAAAATGTATAGAAAATAAACAACCTTGAAGTATTTATTTATTTCAATAACAACTAGAAATATTCAATCATATAATTCTTATTAAAACGGTATATAGATGATTCATATAAGGTATTGTTTTAAACTTATCCCAGCTTAAACAGTAATACATTTAAACCATTTAAACGAAAGCTCACAAATCCTCCTCTGTCATGATGTATAAAGCTTAAGAAATGAAGAAAGAAAAAAAAAGAATTCGATATAGTTCACTTACAGTTACTAAGTAATGGAAATTCATAATCAAAATAGTTACTTGAAAAAAAAACTATTTCCACTAGAATCTATACTACTACAGAATACAAAATATAATTTATCTGTAATTTTAAATCAAACCAATTTAGTTTTTTTGTAAATGATTACTTACCTACCAAAATTTTTACCAACAATACAATTCCATGTTGCTTTGTATTTACGATCAAATTCATGTTTAATATAACTTGCAATATGCATATCAATATTATGCTTTTCCATTGCGATTGCAGCTACATAAACAGCATCATCTTCCATTTCAGGTATCATATCTGATTTATCTATTACTGCACGAGATTTATCTATGGCCATTTTGTTTTGTTTTCTTATAGAGTAAAGATTAGTTATAACATTTCATTTCTTTTTTTTAAAAAAGAGTTTATATCTACAATTAGTAATCACTAGTTTATTAATAATTGGTTAGAAATTATGCGTTACCCTATTTAACTGTCTTTATTTGTGAAATACTTTATGATGAATCTCATATTTTATCAAATGAAAATTACTACATTGTTCATACTGAGTGATATGAACTTTCTTTAAAGTAGGTTTGTATTAATAATATAATCTTTGCTAGCCTTTAAAACTAATCATGTAATAAACTCCTTTAATTAACATTTTATAAATTTTGTTTAAGATTTAATCTGTGTGTGAATTTCGGTTAACAGATTCTGTATTCAAGATCCATATTGTTAATTTCTAAATTTACTTTATTTTTGATCAATCTATACAACTGTACAGTTTGACAGAATTTTATTTTGCCAAACCAAAACTTGACATCAATCATTGAATTCACTAACTTCTAGTCTGAGCCATGTTGATAGATGCAGACTACTTGATTGAGGTCAGCATGACAATCATAAGCAATGGTTTGAGACTCTGGGTGACATGGCTCAGAATCGATCACAATGGCGTTGGTGTATACACTTTCTATTTTCCCTTAAATCGCGAGATTATAATTACTTCATGCCTTTCTAGTTCTTTCTTCCTGTATTATGGCCTTATACATAAACTTCCTTTTATATATTACTACGATTGAAGTAACTACTTCTATAAATTTGGTGTTCATCTCGTTGTGCTAATGAGGTATGGCAACTTGGACCGATGCATATGTGTGCCTGGTTCTACGCTGTAGCTGAATAACTAACTGATTCTGCAAAATATCTTTTTCTATCAGGAGCTTCACTTAATCAGTAATAAAATTCAACACACAATTATCGCTTTTTTAATCTGTAATCCATGCATTATTTTAGGAGTGTAGGCTTGAAATCTTAATTAGCACCCCATGTAGACCGATGTATTGTAACTGAATAAGTAAGCTAAAATCATAAGGACAAAAAAGATTCATATGGCATGTGATTTCTTACTTCGTCAAAAATCTAGAATGAAAAGTCGATAATAATAAATGTTATCGTAACTCTAATTACTGGTTTATTTCAAAACCAGAGTTTTCAAACAACTCAAATACCTAAAATGACTATACAATTCATTAGTTTTGATAAATATTTGCGATTTCTGCTACCACTAGCCATACTCTATCGGAAAAATTGTAATGAACAAACATAATGTCATATAAAATCCTTGTTCAATCAATAATAATAAACTACACTGATTGTTTTTGAGTATTCCTAACGATTTCTGTCCACTATATCATTTATTGGACATTCCATCTAATACTTATCATATCTTCCTCAAGTTAAATATTACACAGTTAACTCCGAGCAAATCCCGGTATTCATATGCCCAGAAAACTGACTGGTTGTTACTACTTGTTATTGCTATTTATAACAAAGAATGCTCGAGCAAAAAATTGATTTCAATAACTTCGTCATCGGGCTTTATAATTATAAGTCCATAATTATGTTATTTTACAAGGGCCAAAATAAAATACGCTAGTGAATTAAACAATGTTATAAATTGAAAACGGGAAAATCTTGAAGCTGTTACGTCATAAATATTTAAAAATGTGTCATTTTGTAAATCCAAAACGTCATTTACATAAGGATAGAATGATTCGTTGAAATGTGTCATGGTATAACCAGTATAGTAATAATAATAAAATAATTCATGTGAATAAATTACGTAGCAGGAGAATTTCGTCTGGTTATTATTCTTTGTTTTTGATTTTTTTTTATGGTGATTTTTAAAATATTGTTCACTGGTTTTCGAGTTATAAAAAAAGATTAAATTTATGCCTGCAGAACTTAAAGTTTATAATGTGAACCTAAACAAAGTAAATGGACCGAGATTGACCCAACAAAAAGTACACTACTCGTTAGTTATCACCAAATTATTAAAGAAAATAACTTTCAAGGTACAACACTAGTATCATGGATACTAAGCGATTTATTTGAGTTAGGAGTCGTTCATTGATGACTGTAAAATATTAAATAATATTAAAAAGATAAATGTTCTAAAGTTATCGCACTGATTAGTATCGAAAACGCTACGCACTATACAAATGTTGATAAAGAACTAACTAATAGTTTGGACACAGAAGTTTTCCAGATACATTTTAATCCACCACATACATTTGATGTTCATATTTTAAATACCAGTAAAATAACAGCTCTAATTACCACCATGATGTGGTAATTTTAACTACCAATGTATAATTTAAACACATGATGTACTATAATGACAAGTCATAGATTTTATGTTAATCAGATGGTAATCCTCTAAGTTATCACTTTAAAATTTAAATCGAAAAGAGAATGAGTAACTAATCACCCATAAGATTAGTAATGTATTTCTTTAATTTCATGTGCTCACATTTTATTTTTCTTTTAACTAGTGTAACTTAAATGTAACCTGTATAACATACTATGCAATCAAAAACATGTTCGTTAATTTTAAAAGATTAACACATGTGATAGATATTATGACTTATATAAGTTATTCTTAAAATAAAACAATCGTAATTACTTTTAAGAAATTATGAAGAGATTCAGAATTCATGAAAAATCAATACAAATTAAAAAAGTAATTATGGATGAAGAAATGCAAATGGACGTTATAAGCACTGTTATTGCAGCATTACATATATATGGAAATGAATATACAAAAATGAAAAAGTTCATAGAAAACAAACTGAATAAACGTTATCTTCCTACATGGCATTACATAACTGGTTATGATGTGGATAGGTTAGTAAGTATTTTCATTCTATTCATGTATTAATTATTCTACGAAATTCATTTTGTCTAAACTTGTAGGTAATTCAATTCCGTAGAAACTTCATACAATAGTAAATGCAGATTTTTTTTATGTGAACCAAGCCCGTAGATCCGTTAAATCATATTTGTAACTAAGGATTATTTGATGCCGGATATTAAGATCACCGCTGAAAGCACACAGTTGATTCGTAATATTTCGAACATTATTTGTCCCGGAAATTTTCGTCTATAATATTTAACATCCACTTAAAGAGGAATAAATTTGAAGTGTCTGTAGTAAAATGTAACTCACTACAAAACGATCATATAACCAGATTAGTTAGGCTGAAATCTGAATCCTCACCTGTTTAGACAAAATGACAATGAAGTCTACTAAGTACTTACTTATGTTGTTGACTAATCGTTGAGTTTGTATTCCGATTAAACGTGATAAGTCCTTCTTCAAGAAATCAATTCTACAATAATCTATCACTTCACATACGTGGTGTTTAAAGGCGAATTTAAAGAACGAACTAGATGAATAACTTACAACTACAGAGCATTGTACAGAAAATAACTAATTACAAGAATTATAGTTTGGTTCATTACTCCTTTAAATGAAGAATGTCTCTTTCTTCTAACAATTAGTTTACCGGCCAAACACATGAACTAAAGGTAAGCAAGAATTTGATAATGAAAACTACACGTGAAACAAATTACTTGAATTCACAACATCCATGAGTATTTATATATTCATCTACTTGTCCTGAACCATTGATGTAGGGCGTAAAATTAGTTTACGTACACTAGAACATTATCCGGATTGGTTGAGGAAAGGATAAGTAAGAGTGATTACGAGTCTTATTCTTGCTTATTTGGTGGACGCAGAACACCAACTTGAACTGAATAAGACTTTGAAGGATATCCATCAAATTTACCTCATGGTTGCCAAGCTTTTTTCTATATATTGCTGAAGTGATCGTGATCGAAATCCGTAAACTTAATGTCTATGTCCACAAAAAGTTTATACAACTCCTCTCTCCATCTTCGCCATCGATATTGAATTGTGTTTTAGCTAAATTTTGATAAACCCCCATTCCTTTCAAAAATATTCAAACGGTTTTCTAATTTTTTTTCAATTTCATATTTCATATCTCCTCAATATTCGTCTCTTGACTCTTAAATAACTACTATAAAATCGACTTTTACTAAACTATTTTGTTATCTCTCATTTTAAATATTACGTAATCTAAGAACCGTTTAACTGAATATTTCAATCCTTACAAATTATTGCTCTAATGATTATGGTCTTCTTCCCTCTGATTACTCAATTAATCATGTAATATTGCTTTATAATGATTTTGATATAATACTTATAACGTTACTCCACAATCTGATTAGCATCATTTTGTTGTAATATATATATCAGAAGTGTTTTTCGTGAATACTATAGTAATTTCAATGGTTGAGATCATGAGTCAATTAAAGCTAGACCACCATTGAAAACCTGGAGGCGCTGGATGTCCATTTAGTCCTATTGTGGGACTCTTCAGTAGTGTGCATCCACGATTCCGCCTCGCAAGATTCGAACCCAGGACCTATTAGTCTCGCGCACGAAAGCGTAACCACTAGACCACTGAGCCGGTATTCAATGATGTTAATATCTAACTTCAATAAATTCATGATCTCAGCCAATGAAATTACTAAAATATCCACAAAAATACCTGATATGAATTAACATATGCTCACCAGTGACTGGCTTCAAGAAGTATTTCCTGGAGTTCTAGTGAGAAGCAGTAACCAGTGGAGTTCAAACGGGTCTGTTGTTTGATAGTAACTCACAAAAGACAATGGTGTATGTGTCTGTCAAGTTCGTGGATTGGTTAAAGTTAGACATTAACACCGCTGGATACCGGCTCAGTGGTCTAGATATTAAGCGTTCGCACGCGAGACCGATAGGTCCTGGATTCGAATCTCGCGAGGTGGGGTCATGGATGCGCATTGCTGAGGAGTCCCACAATAGGGCGAAATGGCTGTCCGTTGCTTCCAGGTTTCCATGGTGATCTAGCTTCAATTGACTCATGATCTCAATCATTGATATATATATATATATATATATATATATATATATATATATATATATATATATATATATATATATTAGAGTCATGACGAGAAACTTATTGAAGGGAAATTTCCTTGCCCTGTTCATCTTTTACTAAATGTCTGAATGGCAACTTTTAAAATACCGAAATATTTTCATGCCTTAAAGAAAAAGCCTTAAATAAATTATTATTTATCGTCGTTGAAAATGGCTGGAACATACACTATATTGAAACAAAGTTCTGTTTTTGCTTTTATCCCAAAAATTTTATACCTGTTCAAAATATCGAACTAAGTCTATACGTCGATTTTGTTCTCTGTTAAACAATCTTCAAATACAGCACAATTAAACTGAATTGGTTTTTATGCATTAAATTTACCATTTTATTGTAATCATAATGTACATTTAAGTGATATAATGGAAATTATAAAAAGTTCATTTTATTTTTTGTATTTTAGCTCATTACTAATGCCTGTTCAATACTTCATTTCATTCAAATGTGAAGAGAAGAATGTTACTGTTTTTAAAACAATCTAAATATAATATAATTACAAACATTCATTTATTATATCTCTTTTCAATTCCTTATTTATATCCAACCAAGTATATGTTTAAGCAAGTATTCATATATTTTTCGATTAGGTGTTGCTTCGAATAAGAACGAAATGAAATAGCTCCCACAATAACTATTAGATCAAAAATGTTTTATGATGAATCTAGGTATTACAATTTATAGTTTTCAGCCCGTTAAGTTATTTTATTGAAAAAGAAACTTATAATTGAACTGGATTTAACCACGACATTGAGTATTCTGCTGTTATTGCTTTTACTAGAATACTTTACTCATATGTTTGAAATTTTGTGTAAATGTGAAAAATGAAGAGAGGCTTTCTTTTTTAAACTAAGATATTTTGAGTATCTAAGTCTATGCTATGGTTATGAACTAAGATATTTACGGTTAGGCTTGTTAAACCTGTTATTCTACTTGCAGTCATATGATTACAACATTGAGTAAATGTAAATAAATAATATAATATAATATATATTTGTAATATCCCACTGAGTAAAAATATTAAATTTTCCGACATTTCGTGACTCAGTGTAAGCCACTTCTTCAGATCAAAATTAATCCAAGATTAAATAGTACAAATAATCAATGCAAGAATATTACGTACTCAATTGGGTAAATGGTTTGAAAATGAACGTTGATAATTTTATCTCTTCACTCACTCATTTCAGCATTGACCTAGATTGCTAGTTGTAGTTTAATCTAGAACCCAGATTTCATTGAAGAGTCTAAAATAATCCCTTGCTTATATATATATATATATATCTCTTTTTGAAATATATCTCGGTCAAAAATTTATAAATCAATTTTGCTAATGAACTCAAAACTATTTTAACGGTGATTTTTTATCAAAATTCAGAAATAATTAACTATAAATTCCAGGTCTGTTTATGAACTTAATGGTTTACTTTATAAGAATAATAATATACTGATGCATTCTCAACTATAGAAATGTATTTCTATTTGCAGATATTGATTTCGATTATTGAAGATTTTAAAGATGTATGATTTGATATGGGATCGACAGTGGTGTTTCTTTTTTAGCCTGGAATATTCCTCCAAAAAATAATAAATAAGTGTAAAGAAACTGTTTTACGAAATGTTTGAGTCTTAATCCTACCCCAAAATAACTATCGATTTCTCACTCGAATTGATTAAGTAACTTAAACATGAAAAATTTCAAATAAAATGGATTGGAAGAAAAGTAACGAACTAAAACATCTAACTTATTTTTGAGATTCTGAATATCCCTTTATTTAGCACATCATAATTGGATAAAATTATAATCACTAACGAATATAATTGCATGTCAAAAGCGATTGACTAGAATTTCCCTGTAAAATAGAACAATTAAATGTTACAACACCATTTGCTATTAAACCAGAGACAATTTCATTTAGACTGACTGCGATATAAATAAATCGTGAGTTTATTCAAAAGCGTTTGAAGAATATTAACTCATTGACATCATCGATTTACAATTAGTTAGTTAACAATGTATCATAAAAAAGGCAAATCATTATGGCTATCTAGATCTGTTCACAAACTTTAGTAGTTAGTTGATTATACAGAATATGACAGGTGTACCTATCATATTACTCTTAGTATCATAACCAAATTAGCCAGGTATTATTAAGAATGTCAATAAAGTCTTGACTTGAATAAACTGAATCAGATGAATAAAGAGTATTTATTCTAAACGCAATGCAACATAATTTTGATTTTTATGAAAATATTGCCTCGTAAAGTTAAACTTTCTGGATTATTATATAATATACCGATTTTAAACAACTTTATATCTAACAAATCTTGTTAAACACTGTGATTTAATATGTCTTAACGACTAGTGCATACCTTACGGAAAACACAACCTGACACCTGTCACTTTTTGGGCTGAACGATCTTTATAATATTGAAACCAGTCATACGATCAACTTTGTCTCACATATTTTATACAAAAATGTATTCTTCAGCTTGGATATATTTACATTTACAAAATAAGAAAGTCACATGCTCGAAAAAGGCTGTAATCAAGTTAAACGTTCCAAACTAAACTATGAATTCGAGATGATGGAAAAGATTTGTAGCTCAGATGGATGATTTTGATGAAGTTTTGTTCTGTGCGCTGGATGGTTTGAGAGAGAACTAAACTCTATCAAAACTATGGATTACTTTGTGAAATTCATTGCAACAAGTTATTATGAATTATGATTACTAGACTTAGAATAGGTAATGTTGAAAATTTAAAGAATAAAACTTCATAAAGAAATTGACATAAAACATAAGGAAGTTAAACATAATTTGATAATCTATTAAGTTTCTTCAATTGATAATGTATAATTCACCTCTTATCTAATAACTCAATACCCATATTAAACATCCATATTTATAGTTATGAAGATATTTCACATGTTAAAGATATGATTCAAAGACAATTCTTTTTCTCATCCTTCATTTAGAAACTTGTTTATAGTTTTCATCATTAGAATAAATCTAATTAGTTATAAATGAAATAAATTCATTAGGTACTTATTTCAATAATCTAAACCATTAATTTAATACTAAACTTTATAATATTCTAATGTACAATAATTGAAACAATAGAACTACATGAATGATTGTGAATATATTATTATAACATTATTATACAAACAATAATATATTCTTAATAGAATATGAAATTCCATTTGAATACATACTATTCCTTTATCTGTTATAATGTTTACTATTCCATTTATGTAATATCATAAATAATCCATTCATTTTATTAAGATTACAATGAACTGTCATTTAAATATACTTACTACTTGTTGTTTTCTTTTCATTATATGCTATTGTAGTTATATAATAATTATTATGTATTTTTTATATAAAAAAGAAGCATTACAAAAAGTATCATATATTCTTACTTAAAGATAATGTATCGAAACATTCTCATCTGATTTACATATATACACTTACTTCAATCTACAGAGTATTGCCAGGTTGATGTTCAAACAATTAGATCATATAATATCATTTAGAATATTCATAATTATTTGAAGTATCAATATTTCTTTTTCAATTATACAATTGAAATTAAGACTTTGAATATATATATTAAACCTGTTATCTGGATATTACATCCAATTACATTTAATAGTTATAAAATACTAATTAGTTTTATTATGTAATATTTCTATAACAAAATGGATATAATCAGAATGGGTTTTGTGGAGCTTTTTAGAAATTTCACAGGTTGAAATCATGGGTCAATTGAAGCTAGACCACTATGGAAAACGTGGAAGCACTGGGCGGCCGTTTCGTCCTAGTAAGGGACTCCTCAGTAGGGCGCATCCACGATCCGGCACCCAACGAGATTCGAACCCAGGACCTACTGATTTCCCGCGCGAGCACTTAATCACTAGACCACTGAGGCGGCCGGCATCCAATGGTGTTAATGTCTAACTTCAACCAATCCACGAAGTTGAGCCACCGTACACTGTTGTCTTCAGTGAGCTGATATCTCACAACAGACCTGGTTGAACTCCACTGGTAACGGCTTCTCACTAGAACTCCAGGAGTATCTCCTGAAGTCAGTCACTAGTGAGTAGTTGATTATTATCAGAATGGCCGTCTAGTGCTTCCAGGTTTTCCATGGTGGTCAAGCTTCAACTGACTCATGATTTCAACCTGTTAAAATGGATATAAGAAGATCAACTATTGACAATAAGTATAAACTAGTGCATACTGATTTTTAAATTATTTCATGACTGAAAATGGGAAAATTTCTGAACTCGGTATTATCAAGTCATTATATCAGATTATGGTTCGAAATTTGAATAATTTGTTATGAGAAACGAACCATTGTTGAACGAAATTAGGTTCTTTTTAAAAAAACACTAAACCGAACATTGGTTTGTTAAGTTTTAGTTATTTTTATATTTGAATTCAAGAGTCAATTGGACCTAGACCACTATGGAAAACCTGGAAGCACTGGATGGCCATTTCGTTTTAGCATGGAACTGCTCAGCTTCAGTTGACTCATGAATTCAACTAAAAATTAATAAAATCTCTACAAACCACACTTTTGATAATTTTTAGTAAGTTGCTTTGTTATACATGCCTTAACTCATGAAGTCAGAAGTAAGGAGAATACCTTATGATAACCTTTATATACTATCATTACATATCAAGAATGAGAAACACTGTTTCCCGGCTCTTTATTTAAATAATATCATAGTTTCTTCAAAGTTGAAATTCCAACTTTTTGTTCGATTCAGTTCACAAACTCGTGGTGAATAAATAAAAGTACTGGCCTTATAAAATGTATTGATGCTTTCAATAATCACGTATTAATCTCGTTTAATATTACGTCCTTAATTTTAATAAAATTGTGTAGTACGAAGTGATTTCATATTGACCAACAGTTGATGGTCTTCGATGGCAACAAAACAGTTTCATATTTAACAATTTTTCCTTTATAGTTTGTTCTAAAAATGGTTTGGATGTTATTGAGTTACGCTTTACTTTTTTGTTACAACAAACATTAAATGAATTGCTACTAAATGTTTTTATAGAAAACTTACAACCCTGGATATTGTTTGGCTTGTATCTTCCCATTGAGGTTCAAGACTGCAATTGATCAATCTGTTTTTTTAGCATGTGTGCATACTGTGTGCCTGCCTCGATATTGCCTTAATTTACAAGCTTTTTGTAAGCAATGATGGATAGTGGCTAGTAGTGGAACATAAGCCAAGCAATACCAGGTGAATTGAAATTCACCCCATTGCACAAGCAAGTGGCTATCGGGGCTCAGTAGCTGAGTGGATAACGCGATGGCGTTTGAAGCGAATGGTACTGGGTTCGAGTCCTAAGGTGTACATCAACTCTGAGATGCAGGTACATCCAGCTGACGAGTCCCAAACGGGACGAAACGCGCGTCCTGGATTCCACTGCTAGCCACTATCCGTCATTGCTTACAAAACCCTTACAACCGATAATAAAGCTAAAC